TAGTACCCACCCCCCAGGGCCACACCTTCATCCCAGCCTCCTCTGCCACTGTGACCAGTGGCACCGTGACGGGTGGCTGAGGGCCCACTGTACAGAGAAACACACTGAGGCTGCTTGGTCCAGGGGGCCCTGCTTACCCCAGCACAGATGTGGTCCCCAGAAGCTTCGCCTTGGACACGGAGAGCTGGAGGCTAAGGTTCACTCCCTGGGCATGTGGGGAGATCAGGGTCAAAGGGTAGAAAGCCATGTGGGAACTTTCAGCTGGCCACCAGTGACCCCAGCTTCCCACCCATCCCCCCACTCATTCAGGTGTTTGTGCATCACAGGCCAGCGTGGGAGGTGAACAATAACCAAAGTAACCTAACAGGATGCTTTCAGAGAGTAGTAGGAGCCACAAAGGCAGAGTGGTGGCATGGAAAGGGCTGATGGGGACCATCTTTCTCAGGGTTTCAGCTGAGACCTGAAAGATGAGGAGAAGCCAGCCATGCCAAGAGCCTGGGAAAGAGTGTCCTAGGAACAGGGTATGACACGTGCAAAGGTCCTGAGGCAGGGATGTCCTGGCACAATGAAGAAACAGCAAATGAAGGAGACCAGTGCAGACAGAACAGAACAAGTGAGAAGAGTGCGGCAGGAAGCGAGTTCTCCTTGAGAGTTGCCACCCTCCCGGGCAGCCCCACGCAGCCCATGTCACTCACCACATTGAAGGAGAAAAGGGACTGGAAAGCCGAGTTGGAGGCCACAGCCAGGACTTCCACGAAAGGCTGCAGCCACAGTGTGGCATTGTTGGTATGGAGTGTGGCCACAGGCTTGGTACCCAGCCTTAACTTGAGCACCAAGGGCATGGGATTGGGGAACTGGCGGGCCACCTGGGGAAGCAGAGGGGGAGAGAGAAAGGAGGACACCTGGGGACAATAGCTAGATGGTCTCTCAATTCTTCATTCCTCTGATGTTGATCAAGCCACCCTTTGTGCCTGGCTGAGCCACAGAGGTGGGGCCACCACAGGCCCCTGCCCTCGGGGATGCCCAATCTGGGATCATAGGCATGAAAACAGGCATAGCCTGTATGGTATGTGCTCGGTGGGAGGGACACTCTGGGGCCACAGGAGCTCAAGGAGCCTCCTAGACCAGACTAGGGGTGTGGACCTCCCCTGGGAGGTAATCCCCGGACTTGTTCTTAAAGATGGAAGCAAAAAGAACACCGCAAGCAGAGGGCAGTGTTTGGGCATTTTCCCGTAGAGAAGAGAAAGTAGCGTGACACCTGGGCAAACGGGGCCATCCCTGAGATGGAGGGGGTGCAGATGTAAGAGTAGATGCTGAACCCCACTTGGGACAGATATGAATCAGCAGAAATCCTATA